ATACTTATGAACTCACCAACATTAAAATGCTGATCCTCTCTTTCAAAATAACTTGTATTCTCAGGTTGTCAGTAGGCAGATACATTCCGGGAGCTTTTGCGAAATCAGCCTTGTACCGAGCTGCATCTTATGTTATTCTCTATATCTATTTTTGATGTTGTTGCTAAATTTAACCTATGTAAAAACTTATACTGTTAATGCAATGGTTGTTGTACTTTGATTTCTATACTACAATGTGTTGTGATACTTGACATGACGTCCTCCACCCCAGAATGTTTCCGTCGTTCCGGTTTTGGGGTGTGACAACATACATCCCTTTTTCTCTCATCTTCATATATTTTTAAAAGTGTTAAGAAATAAGAAGACTTTCTCATGATGGTTCCTTTTGGAGACCTAAACCATACCCATCTTCTTCCTTCTTCTTATCCCTCTTAAAGTGTTAAGATTTTGTTATAAGAAGATAATACTTTCATACTCTCTTTGAGTTAATATTTGGTATTAACTCAGAGCTTAATAGTTTTCCATTACTACAAGATCAAGACTAACATCTTATCAAGAGACTAGCATCTTATCAAGTGGAGCTATTGTTGGTGTCCTAGATGAGAAGAAGCTCTGTTCTAAATTCTACATGCCAAAAGGAACCAAAGCATTCAAAGGTTGTAACACTTTCCTTTTTTATGGTTGTTTTAATCTTTCATGAACTTTGCAAAATGACCCTTGGTGGGCAAAATGATTTTATTTTATTCAAATCTAAAAATATTTCTGTTGCTAATTACGTCGAATTTGTCACTATAATTATACTATTTTTGAATAAAAACTCAACAGTTGTTGAGTAAAAAATATGAAACATAAAGGCTAGAATAAATCAACTTCAAATTGAAACTAAAGAATCGAGTTCGGGCTAAAATAATCCAGTTTAAAAGTCTGATATACAATTATACAAAAAAAAACTGTAAGCTTTGAGCATTTGATTAAAACTCAAGAATAAGAATGAGAAAATTTGCATCTAACCTTATCTCTTAATGATCACCTAGTACTTTGCAAGAGATTAGAATCCAATGTGATGAACTGAAGCTTGGTACGAGAATTAGAAATCAAATCAGAAACCAAGTGTTATTAAGTCATACTTTGCAAGATATTATAATTTAGAACCTAAAGTGATGAACCGATGAATGATCAAGAAGGGGAAGAAATCAAGCGGCGATATCATGAACATATAAATGTCGATTATAAATGATTATTCTGATATCGCTTCACGAGGTGTCGATTTGGTTCCCGCCTAATGTGGATTCGTGAAAGGCACCCTGATCGTTGCTTAACGTTTACTTAGGCTTCTAAAAATTGTTCGAGACAATAGTAGTTTCTTGGGCTGATTTGAAGTCGGGTTAATTAATAGTATTACTAACAGCGGGGACTGAATGACCGTTGTTAGTATTTCATCTGTTGGATCTACTAAACTTTGAATCTAGACCGCATAAACTCGCTATTTATAGGTTTTTGTCCGTTCTCTTCCACAGCCTCCGCATTCTGCTCTCCACTTCTCCTTCTCCCCCACAATATGAAGGTTGCAACTTCCCCACCTTCTATCGGTTAAGTAGATCACATCTACCAATGTTCTTAGAGTTATTGTCCCATGAGTCCTACAAATCAGCCTGGTGAGGCCTATATAATAGTACTCTTTGAAGGTAATTTTGTTAATCGGTTCGATCATAGACCAGAAAACGAGTGATGCTCTTCTCTTCCATTTGAGGAGCAATCGACAAACCACAATCATTTGATAAATATTATGCATTAACAAAACTATTTTGGGTATAACATCTAAGATTTGATTTACATTGCAACATATCTTCCATATAATCTGTAACTCCATCAAGGAAAAGTTGATTAAATCAAGCACAAATATTGGGAAAAACTAGAAAAAAACCTTTACACTTCATTTGGTAAGGCTATAACTTTTAATCTATATTTTTTTTATCTATATTGGTGATGTTGGTGTTTGCACTAGCTGACCAACTTTTGAAGGAAAGGTTGAGATTTTGTGATAGGGATGCATGCAATGTCAACCTAGAGGGACTCACAGTGAATTTTCTAGCGAGAAGGGTGGATTTTCGACCGATTACCACCATACTTTTAAAAGGGTAATAATGTAATATTTCTTTCTGTGAAAAGTATTTGCATTAGTTTTATTCATTTGTGATGTTTTATGTATCTGTCGTGGTTAAGCATTTGTAGGCTATCAATGGATCCTACTTATATCCATGTACATTTTTATTTATTGTATTTCCTTTCATGATAAATTGTTTCAGAGATAATAGTTGGGAAGTCACACTGCCATTGATAAAGCTCAATGTGTCCAGACTTTTGTATCAGAGTTGAATCCTGATACAAACACCAACAAAGAGGAGTTGCCAACTTCTTCATCTCAATTGTTAAATGACAACCCGGATTGCCAGCTGTCATCATCTAATGAGGAAATTGATCATGGTGTGGAAGAAAATAATGACAAAAAAACAATTCTTCATTGCCAGATACATCTTTAGAGATTTCTTCTACTAATCTCGAGTCATTGGTTGTCAAGTCAAAACAATATTCACATTATCTATGTTTTTTTATTTGTTTGCTATGTTATAGTCTAGCAGAGCTTATATTCTTATTGCATAAAGTTATTGAAAGAAGTTGAAGGGATCACATTCAAAGCAGACTACGAACATCAATATGCTAGAACAAAAACTGGTACATAACAATCATCAAAAGTTCTTAAATATTTTATTATTCATAATTATGTAATTTAATGTGATTTGTCTACTCAGGAAAAATCAAAACTAGAAACCCAACAACTTAGAAACAAGATTGATGTTTTGGAATCCAGATCATGCTCTCTCTCTTGAAGAAAGCAAGAATCATTCAAACATTTCCAAGTCGGTAAAAGGAAGTGATGATTTAAGATTGCAAGCTTTTTGTGAAATGTGGGAAATTTTGACTTACTAATTGATAAACAATAACATCATGACAATGTTGGCAAAATGTGGGTTGATCAACAAAACAACCAACTTGAGGTATGCCATTTTATTAGTTATGTGTGTGTAAGGAAACACCATTCCAGATGGCCTTATCCTACTGGAACAATCATATTGTATTCTTAGTTATGTCAACATTTTTTTATGCTATGTTTTGATTACAATTCGTTATGATTCCACTACTTTGACATATACCATTCCATTTGTATATTATCTTATTTGTCAATGCATGCTTAGGAAGAAGAAAATGCAACAATGGAACAAGAAAGAAGACTAATGTCATGTGAAACAAAACAGGAATGTTAACAAGTGCTTTATTAGCCAAAGAAAAAGTAATTGGCATGGTAATCCTCCATCCCATTGCTTCAAAGAGAAACACAAGAGGTAAGCCACTATCTTTTTTGAAACAAAAATCTCTATTTGTAATAATATATGCTTAAATTTTGTGCAAAAACTAATGTGGTGATGAAAAGAGGTATTGATAATGGAAAAAAATTACAAAAATCCATGCCCTTACTGTTTTTCATAGAGCATAGTATTTTCAAACTATTTTTTCATTGGACATTGTACTTTGAATAATCTATTCATCGAAGGACATTTACATTTATTACTTTTCTTAAAAAAAACTCATTTTTAGAAAGTACGGGAAATCAACAACATAGTTTAAAAAAAGTTAAGTATTAAGGGATAAATACGTGTATTAACCAAAACAAATGAAAGTATGATGCTTTAGTTAACAAATGAAATGAAAGTAGGATGCATTAGTTAACAAACCAACAAAAGTAATTAGCTATATATTGCACCTAACCAAAAAATAAATGAGGGGATTTTTATGAATAGTTAGGACCTGGCGAAAGTAGGATGATTTAATTTCACTTAAGTTTTCTTAATGATAAAACCAAAAGGAAAAAAATTACATTAAACTTTATATTATATTTTTTCACTACCAAGAGGAAAATATAAGAGGAATAAACCCTTCAGCATCCACACTGGAGAGAACAAGAAATGACAGCCAAGGAAAGCCCAAAACACCACTAACCAACATCAAGGGCCATATGGACAATGGAGGAAAAAACATCAGTTTCTAGGAATGAAATAGTGAGATGTGCTTAATTCCTTTTTCTCTTAGTAACCAAGAACAATTTTTTCCAACACACACAACCTCATAACTTGATTTGGTCGATCTACTTGTCCTCGTCTGAAAACCTCCTCGAAGACATTTTTTCGCCCGTTTTAGAAGGTCTTTGTTCTTAAATATATTGAGACATTCAATCTTTTGATGATTGATGTCTACCATCTGTGATAGGATATCTTCATTAACATCATCTGAACATGCTGGTACAGGGGCATACCGTAAAAACGGTTATCGGGAAACTTAGCTTTAACTTCATCACCCAACTCATCTCCATCAGAATTGCTTTCTAAGTCGGTTATATCTAAAGTTACATCAGCAACATCAACATAATCCCCGTAAGCATGTACATTTTAATCTTTCTGAATCATAACTTTTTTCTTTTCACTATTATCTACTACACCCCTATTCATAACTTTAACTTCTTGTTCGGGAACATCAACACAACGACCACCCACGTCATTAAGATATTTACAAACATCATCATCACCAACGTACTTGTAATTCTCAGGATCCATATAGTGAATAGGTGAACACCTCACATTAACATTTTCAGCAACACTATGAAATTGAGGTACACTAGGAGTCATGAAAGTACCTATTGGATTGTTGCTCCCTTTATCGCTGCATAAGTTAGCAACCGACTCATTTCCACTCTCGCCACCCTTCGTAACCGCATCACCTTCATCAGCCACCACAAAGATTTTCACAACCCTTCCTCCCATCGATTTGATTACATTGATTAACATTCTAACATCCATGTCTTCAACTATGGCTATATAAGGATTCAATTCAGGATGATGAAAACGAAGATTAATTTTATATTTGTCTAACAAACCGGTTTTCCTTCTCACTAAAGATACAAACTCACTATAACTAATATACTCAAAAAATATTAAAGCGAATTCAGAAATACCTCCCTGTGGACATACGTATTTAAGATTTGTTTCAATAACTTTCCACCTCCCACCGGTTACAACGCAAACCAAATATTCATTCATTTTATTAGAGAGGTTTAAAGAAATTTTCCAAAGAAATAACAACTAAACTGATAATTTTTTGAAAACTTTATATATAATAAGGTTGTTTCGTAGTTAAACCCTATCAATTTCGTAGTTAAAAAAAAAAAAAACCACAGAATCACAGTTGAACTGGAGAGGAAATCGCATATGGGTTTAGTCCATCTGCGATTTTAAGGGGCTGAAGGAGGTATTTATACAGTAAAAAAGAAAAACCATCTGCGAACGTACGAATCGCTAAAGCACGTCTGTGCTTTAGCGACTTGTACATTCGTAGATGGCTTGACAAAATCGCAGATGGGCTTAATCCATCTGCGATTTTGGTGACTAAAAATGCAATTTAGGTTTTTTTTGGCTATTTTCCACAAAGTAATTAACATATTTGGCTAAATTTGCAATTTTTTTATTTAAAAGTATTTAAAATTTGGATTAAATTAGACCAAATGAACCAAAAACCAAATAAAATGAGCACATAACAGATAACACCCTATAGAACATATAGTTATTTTAAATAGAGAAAAAAGAAAGACATTTATATACGATTTTTGGCAGATTTGCGAAAATTTCATCACCACATGATTTTTTGCAGATTAGCTTTAACAATATTTACTTATCAACAGTTCTGCGGCTGTGTACTCTTGTTATTCTCCAACACCTACTACTCCACAACTTCACTCTCCTTGCCACAAGTTTTGCTTTTCTGTTTGTCATTCATCAACTGGTTCCGATCATTCATTATCAATTTAACTCAACCGGTAAGCCCCATTTCTTGAGTTTCTTCAAATTGTCACGAACCCTAATATCCCCATTCTACATGTAACAAATTTGAATTGAACCCTTACCAGATCAGGCTTTTAATCAATTTCCCACTTGGGTATTGTGTAGAGTCTTGTTAGTATAAACTCAAAATCATTACTTTCCATCTGGGTTATTGTTAAATTCGTCAAATTTGTTGATATAAACTCACATTTACAAGTGTTTGCATCTAGGGCTATGTTGAAATCTTGAAATTGGTGAGTTTGAGCTTTAAAATCACAAGTTTTCTGTATCCGTTTTTTCTCTTGAGCAATAATGGCTTCTTCAATGCTGTATGGAGCTGAGAATCTCGCGATTATAAGAGGAAGAGCATACCCAAACGGGTTAGGGTTTAACGGTTCAGATTTGCATGGGAAAAAATCATTCCTCAAAATTAATTTGGCCAGCGGGAATTCGAATCTGAGAGGTATAAGTAAGAGGCTAATTGTACCCAAGTGCAGTGTGTCTGTACCAAGGCCAGCTTCACAGCCCAGGTTCATCCAACACAAAAAAGAGGCGTTTTGGTTTTATAGGTTTCTGTCAATTGTGTATGATCATGTGATAAACCCGGGTCATTGGACTGAAGACATGAGAGATGAAGCTTTAGAACCGGCTGATTTGTATAGCCGTGATATGATAGTAGTGGATGTTGGTGGTGGGACCGGGTTCACAACTTTGGGTATTGTGAAACATGTTAATGCTAAGAATGTTACCATTTTGGATCAATCGCCACATCAGCTTGCAAAAGCAAAACAAAAGGAGCCATTGAAGGAATGCAAGATCATTGAGGGAGATGCTGAGGATCTTCCCTTCAAAACAGACTATGCTGATAGATACATATCTGCTGGAAGGTATATATCATCTCAAAATTTCATGTTGTGATTTATTTGATTGCTTTTGTTGTTGTTACATTATAGGGGGGTATTTGGATGTATAATTCATTACTTTTATAAGTGAGTATGAAGTTGCAATAATTAGTATCTAGTGTTTGAATATTTATCTGCCGAAAGGTATAAGATTATTTAAACACGTACCACATTCCAATTCCTACAGATTCCTATTCGATTGACCGATTCCAAATGAGTCTGTTGTTATTTGATTGCAGCATTGAGTACTGGCCGGACCCACAACGAGGCATCAAAGAAGCATACAGGGTTCTAAAAATAGGAGGAAAGGCATGTTTAATTGGGCCTGTGTATCCAACCTATTGGTTGTCTCGTTTCTTTGCAGACATGTGGATGCTGTTTCCAAAGGAGGAAGAGTACATTGAGTGGTTTGAAAAGGCCGGATTCAAAGATGTTAAAATCAAGAGGATTGGCCCAAAGTGGTACCGTGGGGTCCGCCGCCATGGTCTTATCATGGGCTGCTCTGTTACCGGAGTTAAACCCGCATCAGGAGATTCACCATTACAGGTAAAAAGGGTTGCATTTTTTTTTAATGCAGGAAAGTGTTTTTTCTTTTTTCTTTTTTACGACAACATTTCATTTTAGGACCAAAAGATAGGTTGCATAAATTGGTCAAAAAGTAAGACATTGTTATAGTAGTGAAGATTACTTTGTACTTGGATGATATTGCTATTATCAAGTAGATATTTCAATGAACAATGTTGTAATAAGAAGAATTGAAAGTAGAATGATGTAAATAATAATAAACAAATCAAACATAAGTACATTGGTATTTCTTGAATTTAACTTTTTTGTTGGGTTATATGTGGCAGCTGGGTCCAAAAGTGGAGGACGTGAGGGAGCCAGTGAACCCGTTGGTGTTCCTAGCCCGGTTTCTTGTGGGTGCGATGGCTGGAATCTACTATGTTCTGGTCCCTGTTTACATGTGGCTCAAGGATCAAATTGTCCCGAAAGGTCAACCAATTTGAGTCCTCAGAGATTGGTTTGGTTTAGGTTGAGTTGCATTTTCCCATTTTGGTTTTGTATGCTATGATATGATATAATTCCATGCCTGGTTTTGGTTTTCAGTTTAAACTTCAAGATTCAAGACATGTCGTTTGTTAGGGTTCCCAGTTTGTGAATGAATTAAACATCTGACATAAAATAACCAAAAGCCAATTAAACCGAAACTTATTCAATTTGGTTGTGGTTAATTTAAAATTGTTAAAAGTTGATTAAACCAGACTGAATAACATCGTTGTATTTATTTAGAAACAGTGAGAAAAACATTTATATCTATATACGATTTTTTTTCTAGTAAATTTCAGTCGTTCCCACATCATTTCTGTAATCTAGCTAATAGATATGTGCTTATCACCAGCTCTGCGGCTGTGTACACGTGTTCGTCTCCAACACCTGCTACTTCCACTACCCACCCTCCTGGCCACAACTTCTGATTTTCTGTTTTGTCGTGTATCAATTATTTCCGATCATTATCATCAATCGACAATCGTGATTTAACTCACCTATTAAGTTCCATTTCTTGAATTTCTTCAAATTGTCACCAATACTAATATCTCCAGCATCTAGCAAATTTAAATCGAAACCTTACCAGATCAGGGTTATAATTTTTAATCAATTTCCCACCTGGGTATTGTGTAAATTTTGAGTCACTAGTTTTTCCACTTGGGTTATTGTGAAATTCGTCAAATTTGTGAATATGAACTCTCATTTACAAGTTTTTGCGTAGTCTTGAAATTTGTGAGTTTGAGCTTTAACATTATAAGTTTTCTGTATCCGTTTTTTCGTTTCTTGAGCAATAATGGCTTCTTCAATGCTGTATGGAGTTGAGAATCTTGCAATTATAAGAGGAAGAGTGTCACCAAACGGGTTAGGGTTTAACGGGTCGGATTTGCATGGGGGAAAATCTTTCCCCAAAATTAATTTGGGCATTGAGAATTCGAATTCTAGAGGTATAAGTAAGACCCTATTTGTACCTAAGTGCAGTATGTCTGTACCAAGGCCAGCTTCACAGCCTAGGTTCATGCAACACAAAAAAGAGGCATTTTGGTTCTACAGGTTTATGTCAATTGTGTACGATCATATTATAAATCCGGCTCATTGGACCGAAGACATGAGAGATGAAGCCATGGAACCTGCTGACCTCAATAGCCGTGATATGATAGTAGTGGATGTTGGTGGTGGGACCGGGTTCTCAACTTTGGGTATTGTGAAACATGTTGATGCTAAAAATATTACCATTTTGGATCAATCGCCACATCAGCTTGCTAAAGCAAAGGAAAAGGAGCCATTGAAGGAATGCAAGATCATTGAGGGAGATGCCGAGGATCTTCCTTTCGAAACAGATTATGCAGATAGATACATATCTGCCGGAAGGTATATTTTTTCTACCAAAATTCATGGTATTTTGGTTTAGATTTGTGTTATATGAAGTTGCATGTGCTTATTTTCTTTAGCGTATAGCTAAGCTAACCTACTTCTGCATAGATTATTTGGATATTTATGGATCAAATAGTCAGTTTGATACTAGCAAAGGGTAAAGTGATATTATTTGTATAGTACGCTTATTTTTCTCTTGCTTCTTTAAATGATCTGAATTTTACAAACACATAAAGCAATAGAAACTAGAAAGTGATTGAAACTTAAGGGGCGTGTTTGGCCCGCATGGATTGAATCTTGAATTCCATTCCATGGCATGTGGCATATTTGATTGCCAAAAGTACAAAAATTGAACGGAGATTTCTTCAAAATCCATGTTTGAGGGATTTTATTATTCCTAAAGGTGTATAGTAAGAATTGAGTTCCATTTGTAATTTTTAATCAAACCGTGTATTATTATTGATATCTCAAAGATTACGATACATATGAACCTAATATATAGGTTAGATAAATACAATTAGGTACCCTCTAATTTAAGTAAAATACAATGCAACACATAAACTTAGTCTAACATTCCCCCGCAAGCTAAGGGCGGGGAACGACCTGTAGCTTGGATCGTAAAAAGAGAAATCTTTGAGAAGACAGCGGTTTGGTAAAAACATCAGCGATCTGATCAGCAGTAGAAATGAACTGAACACATAATTGACCAGAAGCCACACGTTCACGAACAAAGTGAAAATCCACTTCAACATGTTTGGTGCGAGCATGAAAAACCAGATTAGCAGCTAGATAGGTAGCACCAAGATTGTCACACCAAAGTGTAGGACGTTGAACTGAAACTCCCAATTCATTAAGAAGAGCTTTCAACCAAACTAATTCAGTCACCGTATCTGCAAGGGCTTTGTACTCCAACTCAGTTGAAGATCTCGAGACAGTACGCTGTTTTCGGGCAGTCCATGAGATCAAGTTCGATCCCAAATATATAGCAAATCCTCCCGTGGAACGTCGATCATCAGGGCATCCTGCCCAGTCTGAATCCGAGAAAGCATGTAAAGAATCAAATGCAGAGTGTTGCCAATGAACATCCGTAAAGGCTTGGAGAGAGGAACCCGAAGCATGCCTAATGAGAAGTCCAAAATTAGTCGTGCCCTGTAAGTACCGCAAGATGCGTTTGACAGCAGACCAATGGTTTTCGGTAGGAGCATGCATGAATTGACACACTTTGTTGACGGCGTAAGCAATGTCAGGACGAGAGATACTAGCATACTGAAGCGCTCCAACGAGTTGTCTATAGATAGTCGGATCCGGCAAGAGAGGACTGTCACCAATAGATAAGACCTGAGTGGTGGTCATTGGAGATTGGACCGGTTTGCAATCCTTGAGACCCAAACGATGAAGAATATCCAAAATATACTTCCGTTGAGACAATATGAGGTCAGAATTACGAGAAACAACCTCAATGCCCAAGAAGTGATGCAGTTGACCAAGGTCTTTAATGGCAAAAGTGGAACCCAACTGTTGAATGAGGTGAGCAATCATTGCATCATCATTCCATGTAATAATAATATAATCCACGTAGACTAGAATGTAAATTCGAGTCCGACCTGTTTTCAGAATAAATAAAGATGGGTCAGTGCGAGACCCCAAAAAACCAAAACGATGCAACACAGTGGACAAGCGTTGAAACCAAGCTCGTGGAGCTTGCTTGAGACCATACAAAGACTTGTGAAGAAGGCACACATGACCAGGTTT